AACTTATTAGCGGCGCGTGCCATTATCCGGATGCCCAAGAAGTCGAATTCGTGGCTATCTTCCAGAGCGTGGGTAGCGATCTGAGACAGTGGGTCGTCACTCCGCACTGCCCATTTGCGTTCCGTTATTCGCGAGCTAAGTCGTTGTCCGGTCTGCCCCGTATATTGGCAAGAGCAGTTGCGAAATGGCACTTAATAAACGACGCCAGACTGCTCGCTTTCCTCCAGTGGGTCTTTTATTTGCATGACTCGTGAACGCATGGTAGCTGTCGGACGATGAGCAATACCCACACCGAGCTCTGCGGCGATGCGCTCGGTTGCTTCTGACACATTTTTAATGTGCGGTAGAGGGTGCCAGAGTGTTGGGTATTCTCCTTCGGTTTTTCCCCGTGGGCGCGTACGGAGGCAAATGTAGAAGACCTCATGTTTACTCACATATAAAAGCCGCAGAGTATATCTTCATTATTTTTTTTAACCCGGCAACACTAATCGGCTGGCCAGTCGATAAGGTGGAAAACATCTTAAACCCTAAATTTGTATCATACTACATGCAATGACGGGCTTGCATTTCTGTTCTCTGCAACCAATCACGCTAACTCAGCAACTTCGTACACCACTGTCAGATGTTTGGTTTTACGTGATAATGAAGAAGTTGTTTATTCATGTGACTGTGTCAACTACGATCACGATTCTAGCCGTGGCGATAATTATTTCGAATGGGAACTACTCTGATTGCAATAGTAGTATTCGTATTTGATGTAATAATAATAATAGTAGTGATATTAGTACTTGTAGCAGCAGGAGCTGAAGTGTAGGAATCCGTCGCCCAGAGCAACTGCGCTGACTCATGCCGCCTTTCGTGCGCTGAGCTTTGCTCGCTGCAGAAGTAAACAGAAGTAAACACTGTTGTTATAGGTGGCGCATGAAAATTATTCATCCATTTAGGAGCACGAATTGTCAATCGGTTGTTTAACTCATCAATATGGAAAGCTGGGTCGGTAACACGTTTGTCTACTGTCAAGGTTTACTGTAATACGTCTCAAAAATACGAACCTATTTCATGATCCGTTTTGAGCTTTTCTTTAACCCTTTCCCTACTAACCACATGGATGTTTACAATGGTAGGCCTGTCTCGTGAAATGGTAACTAAAATTCTGATTTTGGTTACTTCGGTGGTGTTTACGGTAAGACTGTCTTCCGAGGTCTGATTTGCCTTTGACTTATAATAATAACCTACTTTTACATCTTTAATACCCCTAACTTCCCTTTTTACGTTAAATTCCGCCAAGATAAGATTGAATTTTCATCAATACGCATCAGTTCCCTGAGCTACCGGAGTTTACGTCGATGGGGCTGATTCTATTTAGCTCATTAAAACAATTATACGTGGCTATAATTTAATATTCTTTGATCATTTTCAATACGAATAAATATTCATTTGCACACGCTAGCCAAGAATTAAATGTTTAATGACCGATTCCGGAAGATAGTTGGATGGGGGAATAGATATTTAGGCGGCCCTGCAAGACAGTTTTGCCGGGTTGTCATATTAACCATCGTGCATCATAATTATCGGAGCCATCCTAGTGCTATTCGCTTTTTCCCTCTGTATTTGATCCCTTAATAACTTCGACCTGTGTGTTTCTGTTTTTTGACTCTTCGCCGCAGAAGCGAACATTCGCCAACACGCACAACCCAGTCCGTGAATGAGGATCAACACCAGGACGGGCTGCCATCCGCTTCATCCCGCTGCACTCTCAACGAACTGCTTGCCCACCTTCCAACTTCAAAGTCACCAAATTTGCGAACTCCCCAGAAGCCTCCTCCAGCCATAAATGAGCAGTTGTTGTCTAACGTGCTGGCAGAGACTGACTGGTCTGTCGGAGACACGCCTATACGAATTCGTTCGCCCAGTGGGCAAAATGTCTACGATTTGACAGTTAACACTTCCGACAGCATCGGCCACCTAT